AGGAGCAGCCCCAGGGAGAAGGAGCAGCCCCAGGGATGAGGAGGAGCAGCCCCAGGGAGAAGGAGCAGCCCCAGGAAGGAGCAGCAGCCCCAGGCCGGCCCAGCAGCTGCAGGACTGGGGGGATCCCTGGGCTGGGATGAGCCAGGGCAAAGCTGATGGAGAGCACAGGGTGAGAGGCTGAGGGCAAGCACAGCTGCAGGAACCAGGGGTTAAGGAGGGCCAGTGGTGCCAGGGGAGGAACGAGGGTGTGCAAACAGCTCACATCAATCTACAGGCAGTGAGAACAGGGAATCACCATTTGGCTTTGTGGGGATTCATTTCCTTCTGCCTTTTCTCAATTAGCCCTGCATTGGCTCTGCCCAATTTCACTGTCTTCTTCCAAAGAATTTTATTTCTGACTGTAAAACTGGTGGGGTTACAGTGGATCAAACCACCCTGCTGCAAGCAGTGTATCAAAGCACTGTTCCCTTTCCTCAGGACATTTAGATGGGATATTGGGAATGAGGAATTGTTCCCTGGCACAGGGTGCCCAGAGCAGCTGGGGCTGCCCCTGCATCCCTGGCAGTGCCCAAGGCCAGGCTGGACACTGGGGACAGTGGGAGGTGGCCCTGCCATGGCAGGGGTGGCACTGGAGGGGCTTTAAGGTCCCTCCAACCCAAACCATTCCAGGATTCCCAGGCACCAATAACCCTGAGACACAGCAAAGAGTAAAGCAGAAAGGGAAAGATCCTCTCACAACAGGACCAAGGGGTTTGGCTTTATTTGGTTATTTTATTTGCTTATTTTCCTTTCCCCATCCCATCTTCCCTATACTTTTCCCAGAAATGATGGTGACTTTGGCAATACTTCACCCCAGCAGCTCCCACCAGAGCAGCACTGCTCATCAAAGCAGACTGTAAAAACTCAGGAACAACAGAGCAGACATCCAAAGCTGGAGATGCAGTAATGCCAACAGTTTAACCACAACTCCAGCCCTTTGGAATGCACTAGAGTATTAGAGTACCCTGCTACCTGAGCCATGTTTTGTTTGGAGCAGTGCAAGCCTGAAGCAAACAGGAGCTCAGCTCAGGTAAAAGCCCAGTGCAATTCCTCTCAGTGCATGTGCAACACCTGCGTTTGAGTCCATGTGTTTTTAGAAGCACTTTTCCCCAAAATGTTGTTGGAGAAACTGCAAAAGGCCAATGGAATTGCTGCAGTCCCAGGTAACAATGAGGAATATGGAGGAGAAGGGGATCTTACCGAATCCTGGGGCAGCGGGCAGGGCGAGGGGCGGCTGCTTCATGACGGGCGGCAGCGCGGCCGGGAGCTGGTACCCCTGCAGCTTCAGCTTGATGAGCTTCATAGCTATGGAAAACTCCAAGGGATCCATCCTGCCATCATTGTTCATGTCAGCTAGAGCCCTGCAAAACACAGTGTTGGCAAGTTACAGCCTGCAGTGAGCAACTTCAGGCCCTGCCCCGGGAGCACGATCACATGAGTGGGGATGTTCGAGGCTGAGGAAGGGGCTGGAGCCCAGGAGGGGCTGAGGGAGCTGGAAGGGGCTGCAGAATCCCTGAGG